AGCTGCTGCAGTGCTTGGTGCTTCCCAGGCAGCGTCACTGTGTGCAAGGCAGGAAGGTGGGATGGGGCTTCCACTTTCTACATGGGAAACTGAGGCACAGGGCGATGGGGACTAAAATGTCCACTCGTTTGGGGAGGTGACTGAAAGCAGAGGAGTCGTGCCCTGCACAGCGCACAGCCCGGCGTGTCTGCGACACACTGCATCATTTCAGCAGGCAGCATTTTAGCCAACCCAGCCGCCAGCTTCTCACCCAGCTCTCCCAAAACTGAGGGGCCGCTCGTGTCCCTCTCCAGCGCCCCGGGCTGCTGGCGGTGCCCAGCCGAGCCTGGCCAGGGCAGGACTCCCTTGCCTGAGCCATGAGGCCGCGATGGCACATCCCTGCTCCACCACCAGTCCCGGCACCCAGCCCCGTGCTGGCTCTGCCCAAAGCCATGGAAAAGGAGGTGTGTGATCAGCTCCATAAAAACCATCGCGACCCGGGAACACCCCACCGTTGTGTCCGAGCTTCACCCCAGCCCTTCCTCACTGGCGCCAGGGCACTCCGGGAATGCCCGTGGCTGGTGCACAGCGCCTGGCTGTGCGGAGCCGCGGCGGCATTGTGTGCGGCAAGCAGCACAATGCCGGCATTGTAACCCTGACACCGGCGGAGCGATGCCTCCTGACCCCAGAGCAGGGACTGGCCACGGGATCTCTCCCGTCACGGCTGCCTTGTTTTCCCTGTGCATCCCAGGGGTGCAAGGGAAAGCACCTGAGCATGGGAGCCGTGGGTGCCGCTGCGGTGATCCAGGGCCCTGGTGCTGAGCTGCTGCTGGTGCCGGAGCCGGGGAGCGGTCAAAGGCAGTGCAGTGGAGCCGACGGTCTGGCGGAGCTGCAGTCCCGTGCCTGCAGGAGCAGGCGGGGAGGTACAGGCAGAGGGACTCTGCAGCGGATCCAGGGGATTGGCCACAGAAGCGACCACAGCTCTGGGATGAGGGGCAAAACAAAGAGAGAAATGAAAAAAGCAAATTTAGGAGGGGACAAAATGTCTGAGGCAACTTGGTGGTGCCTTTGGGCACAGAGCCGGTGCCTGCCTGGATGTCTCCGGAGCCCGGAGGGGCTCTGGGGACAGAGGTGTTGGCAGGGCAAGAGGGATGGGACAGGCTGGCTGTGCTCCCTCCCGCTCCCATGGGACCCCGAGACTGCCGGGGAGGGGGTGCAATGCCAGCAGACCCGCGGGACAACGAGCAGCTCCTTGGAGCAGTTTGTAACACCCATCCATGCACCACCATGTACCCGAGGGCAACCCTCTGCCACCGCACCGTGGGTGCCCAGCGGGTCCCGGGGTGTTTGATGGGATGAGGGACATGCAGCCCCCCGGAGATAACAGCCAAGCGGAGACGTTTCAGCTG